TCCTATACGTACTTAACTGCTTCATTATACACTCCACTCTAGAGGTCTATTTATTATAGACTTCCTCAAATAATGAGAATCATAGAGTGTTACAATTAAGAACTTATTTATATAGACTGGACCTAGTTTAAATCAAGATCCAAATAACAGTTCAGAAATATTCTATTTAACCAGTATTTTCTACATAAAAGGACCTTCTGGTGATGGATATAACCCCAATGGATATTTTTCACAGCTCACAGATATGTTCAGTTTTAGTTTCAGGAGACACATGCCATTAATTTTAGTGTGTTCTTGGAGGGGACCTAGGCATTTTATAACTAATGTGGGGTGGACAGTCAATGCTTCCTTTATCTTATTTACCAAAATAGGGATTTTGAAACCATTCAGAGGTAAACCATCTCCAGCTGAAAATGAATGAAATAGACTTTGAGTATTCCATAGAAGAGAGCAACTGTCATTAGAAACAAAACATCAAACTGTTTTATCTGAAACAAAGTTTCACATTGCACATACTTTTCCTTGCCAACAAACAGTTACTAGTTTTTTCCTGGTGTCTTGTTTGAATGAGCAGGATGGGAGAGCATTAAAAAGAGAAACATTTCTACATGTGTACATGAAATGGTTTCATTTTAACAAACTAGCAGTGACCTAAATACACAACTGGCCCTGTAATCTCATTACAAGATAAAATGAAGGACCACAGATCAACTCTTAAAACATTAAATAGTGGGCCATCTGTGGTAACTGTTCATCCAATTTTAATTGCTTATAGTCAATTACAGTTCTATATAGCTGGTTAACTCCTTTAGTTAATGATTCTATATAGCTAGTTAATTCCTTTAATAACTAGGCATTTATTTGGCAATCAGTTTATCTTGAAGGCTACACTGGAGAAATAATTTAAGATAAAATGCACCACTTAAAATCTCTCTCTCTCTCTCTCTCTCTCTCTCTCTCTCTCTCTGTGTGTGTGTGTGTGTGTGTGTGTGTGTTTGTGTGGTTAAAAGAGAGGTTTTTGGCCAAAGGCAGAGAAAGATGGAAAGATGTATTTGGTTATACATGTTTTAAATTGTGTGTGAAGGGGAGGCTAAAATGGCTGCGAACATCCCTTATGGCTTTGCTAAGACCTTGGCACCTTGATTATTTTTTCATATGTATATGAAAGATGAAATCAAAACTAACCCTTGTCTGTAAGGGTTGTGCACATCTATAATCCCTGCACGAGAGGCTGAAGCAGGAGGATGGCAAGTTTGAGGACAGCCTGGACTACATAGTGAGTTCCAGCCCAGGCTGGGTTACAAAATGAGACCCTATCTCAAAAAACAAAAATAAAGGGCCTGGCATAGTGGCTCATGCCTGTAATCCCAGCTACTCTGGAGGCAGAGATTAGGAGGATCATGATTCAAGTCCAGTCCAGGCAAACAGTTAGTAAGACCTCATCTCAACAAATAAGCTGGGCATGGTGGCATACAACTGCAATCCCAGCTACATGGCAGGTGAAAATAGGTGGATGGTGGTCTGAAACCATCCCCTGGCAAAATCTTAAAACCCTTTCTAAAAAACAACTAAAGCAAAATGGCTGGGGATATGGTTCAAGTGGCAGAGTACTTGTCTAGTAAGCCCAATACCACAAAACCAAACCAAACAAACAAACAAAAACCACAAAACAAAACCCCCAAAAACCTAAATCTTAAGGATAAATCTTGGTCCTCCTGGGTGTTCCACCTAGGCCCAACTCTGTATTGAGAAGAAGGGTGTCCTCCTACTGATGCAGACAGGGTCTAGTCTGGTTTTTCAATTTTCTTTAATAGAGATAACTTGAAAAATGTATGACATTTGGCTAGAAGTGTGGCTCAAGCAGCTGAGTGCTTGTCTAGCATGTGTAAGGTCCTGAGTTTCAGAAAAAAAAGAAATAATATTCAAAAGTTTATGACCTATGATTTAAAAGATGGCTACCTTCCACATATAGCAAATAAAATATAAACTTAGTACCATGTAAGACTTATTTGTGACTTGACTGAGAGGAATAGTATTGATGGAAAGATAACCCAAATGTTGATTTACTCATTTAAAAACTACTTTGGATTAAGCCAGGTCAGCAAACAGCTGTGTATAACAACTTCCACATTTTTCTACCTATACTTGTTCACTTTCATATTGGCTGTTGGTCAATATTGAGAGGCACAGAAGAAAAACACCCCAATGGAAGTCTTTCCTGTGTTTACTATAAGAAGTCACAGGGCTGCTGTGCCTTCTTTAAGGACAACCCATAAAGCCATCTCTGGTCTCAATACAGTGATGGCAGTGTTCCTCTGAGCACTGGTCTGCCTTTATCTAATGGACACTAAGGTGTCCTAGACATTACCTGTTATTAAGTAAAAATAAGTTCATAATTTTATTAAGACCCCAAATTATGATGCCCCAAGACCCTTGCAAACAGGAAGTCCAAATAGTAACCAGGAGTTTTCCTTTACAGACATTTATGGACTCACCCAAGATTATTGACATGAGTAAGCGAGATGACCTAAACCTAATGGTGTGCTGGTAAGTATTCAACACTCATGATTCAGAAACAAGAAAGGAGGCAAGGCTTGGTGGTGTAAGACTATAATCCCAGCTACTAGGGAGGCTGAGACCAGAGGATTGAAAGTTTGAGGCTGGTCTGGGCAAACTTAATGAGATCTTATCGCAAAAATAAAACAAAACAAAAGGTGTGGGAATTTGTCTCCTGTGGTACAGCCCTTGTCTTGTGAGGTCCTGGGTTCAATCCCCATACTGGGGGAGGGAAAGAAGAAGGAAAGTGATTATCTACGACTGATGAGATTATAAGTGATTCTTACATTGTTTTTCATTTTCCAAATTTTCTTCAATTAACACATTTTACTTTGGAAAGGGGGGTGGGGGTGGTAGTGCTTACTTTAGTGACAAATCTAACCTGAACTGATACAACCTTAATTTTAGTCTTTATCTTGCATGATGTGAATATTCATGATTTTCTACAAAAAGAAAGTTTTACATTATGGCAAGCTGCTCCAGAAGCTACTGAGGTGTTAACACTGTTTGTGCATTAGTTTGACTTCAAAATCTCAGAATTCTGAAAAGTTGTTTGGAACCTTATAATAATAAAACTCTTTCATTTTCATAATGGCTTATTTTTCACACAAGGATTCAAGACACTGGAGGGTGGAGAAAGGTGCTACAGTAGACAGTACCCAGAATTACTCTCCTGTCCCTTCCCACCCAAGTTGACACTGGCCTCAGTCACACTCATGATACTTTTCTTTCCAGTGCTCACTTTCTCTCTGTGTACCCCTTCTTCTTTTGGATGTCCTTTAAATACATCTGTATATATTTGAACCTTAATTGTGAATGAGTTTAAAATTCTTTTTCATGTGATTCATGGGCCCCATGAAAACTGGAGGACGTCTATTTGAGTGTGCCCAAGCTTTCTGTACTCTTTCAAAAGGGTCATGGAAGAGACTTGGCAAAGTGGCATCCAACTCCACGAGCTCTGGTATTCAAGTCCCAGCTCTGCCAAAATACCTACTCCAGTTGTAACCAATCTTTCCCTTAGTTTCTAGAAAGCTAAGAGCCAAATTTGTGGCCTAACTCTAGTTTAATCTTATCTTTCTCACTCTCAGTTTTCTTTTGTTCTATTTTTCTCATACCTATTTTTAATTTACCCTACTGCATGCATTTATGTAAGATACCTTAAATCCTTTCTATTGGAATAAAGTTGAGTATAAATAAATGTACTTTAACAAAAAAGAAAGATGAGCCATTTCTTTACCCTGAAAGTCCCCAAAATGAACTGGTAGTAATCTGTAGTTTTTCACATTTTACTAGATAGTCTGTAAAGTCTATCCCAGGCAGGACCACCATTATGACGACGTACCTGTTCTGTCTTCATCATTAATATAAACTAAACCCTAAAATGGAGCAATAACTAGAAAAAAAGCATTAAACCCTAGCTTTATAATTCATCCAACATCAGACAACATGTGATTAGACGATGCTTTCTTCCTCCTCAAACCCTGCAGTGTCTACTCTTCAACCTTGTGACAAAACACATGCACGTTTAAGCACCTAAGCTCACATACGCTGAGGCAGTACACCAGCAATTGTGAGGCGTGCAGACTGTAGCACTATGTGCCCAGGTTTAAATCCCAGCTCTGCTGAGTATTTACTTGGGTGATCTGGAGCTAGTTTCTTAACCTTCTGTAACTCAATTAACCCCATCCGCAAAGTAGAAATAATAATGGTACCTATCACGACTTAAATGAGAGAATAAGTGTATAACAACTAAAACGGTGCCAGAACACCCACAGGGATCTCAGTAATGTTAGCTATTATTTGTGTATGCCAGGCCGCATCACGTCTGAGTTTCAAGAGAAAACACTCGTACAATTCCTGAAACCAAATACTGTCAGTTGTCTAGATCCTCGTGGTGGCTACTCTTGCTCCTGCCCTTCAAAAGGCAGTGTCACATGGTGGAATGATGAAAGCTAGAGCAACGAACCTTTCTGACCCCCATGTTTCTCTCTCGCGCTCTCTCCACTGTCTATTTCTCTTCTCTCACTCTCCTCTCTGAGCCAGATTCTTGGCGTGTGCTGCCGGCACAAAGATAAATGTGTTTTTGTCCTTTAGGAGCTGAGTGTGGAAGATAAATGCTTAAGCCAATTACAAGGTTTTAGATTAAGCAATATAATGGAGGGATGACCAGAAAAGCACTATCTACCGTGGATGGGTATGTTAAATAATGTGATTGCTGAAAGCGCTAGAGATGGTAGAGAGGGGCACCACGTAAAATATTAGTACTGCTCACCCTCCCAGGGCCCGTTTAACTCTTGTTTCATGTAGGGACACCTAAGGAACCAGCCCTGCGGATGTGTAGGTTATAAAACCCCTTCCTTATTTGCAATGTCAAACCTTTCCTGCTTCCCACACACCTGGGCTTCAATCATAGTTAACCGCTGTCCGCGCTTCCCGGTCAACAGTCACATGAGGAGTCGCTTGCAAAACCAAGAAATGAAGCCAAGAAAAGAAAGCGAGGCGGGAAGGGTGCACGACTACGTCAGCGGAATCGCAGGGCCCGGGTGTGTGTGTGTGTGGCGGGCGGGGTGGGGGGGGGGAGCAAGCACTCTGCCCAACAGGAGCGTGCTGGACACAGCAAGCAAGGCTTCCATCCCGTGCCTGCGCCTGCGCCTCGGCGATTCGGCGCAGTAGTCGTAGAGTGGGGGACAGCGCGCGGGAGTAGGGGGGGAGCGGCGCACCTGCGCGCTGGCGGTGGGAAGTCCATCCCACTGCGCATGCGCGAAGGCCCGGCCCCGGGGAGCGCGCAGCACGCCTGCGCGGAGCGTTGCGTGGCGGGGTGGCGGGCAGGGGCTGTGGCGAGTGAGTGGCGCTGCGGGTGGGGCCGTCGGCGGCGCTGGTGAGCTTTGCGGAGCTGGGCGGTGCCGAGGAGGAGGAAGGAGGTGGCGGCCTGGGTCTGACGCGGCCCGGTTCGTGGGGGCCCCACTTGTTTATTTATTTATTTATTGTGGGTGCCTCCGAGTGTGCGCGCGCTGTCTCTGCTCGGCGGGGAGGGGGTGGGGGGAGGGCCCGGGAAAAAAAAAAGGGGGGAGTTGGAGCCGGGGTCGAAACGCCGCGTGACTTGTAGGTGAGAGAACGCAGAGCCGTCGCCGCAGCCTCCGCCGCCGAGAAGCCCTTGTTCCCGCGATCGGGAAGGAGAGTCTGGTGCCGACAAGATGGCGGACGGGGAGCTGAACGTGGACAGCCTCATCACCCGCCTGCTGGAGGGTGAGTGGGGGGGTGCGGACCCCGTCCTCCCATCGCCGCGGAGCTCAGGGGCCCCCTTCCCGCCCAGACCAGGCGGCGGGGGCCGGGGGTGGGGGATGGAGAGGTCGGGGGCGCGGGAGGCGGGCGGGCCCGGCCCGGCAGCCATCTGCGGGGAAGCCTTCGGGAAGGCCGCCTGGCTCCCCGCGCGCTGCGCTGGCCTCCGGTGACCCGCCCGCCGCCGGGCATTGTGCATCCGTGGAATGTGTATTTCTTCTGTTCTCTTTGTGCATTGCCCTTGGCTCCCTCGATTGTCGTTCAGGGAGTGAATTTTACAAAAATCCTCCGCAGGAGGACTGTTTCGTCTATTCTGCATTTTTTTTTTTAACACGATGCTGGAGAACCGGCTTTAACTAGGAGAGGATGAGATGAGCGACTCTTTACCCACTATTTGTTAATCCGGCGTAAAAAAGAACGGTAAAACAAAATCTTGGGTCGGGTTGAAGATGCACGTAAGAAATACAGAATGTATAGCTAGGTTTGCTGAAAGGGCTTGAAAATTGAACGGATTTGAGCATAGTTTAATTTGTGCACAAACTTAGTGAAGGTCTGTGTGTAAAGCAGCTCTTGGGCTTAAAAGGTATTTGCTAGCCTAAGCAGTATTTGAAGTTTCCGGATCCTCATGTTTTTATTGATTAGTTTTGTGCAGGTGGGAGCATAAGGGGGGAAAGAGAAGAGGTGGGGAGGTCAGGAGTTAAATGTATGGATCTGTTTTAGGGTACTGTTCAAAGTTAGACCCCCGTCTTATTCAAAGAATCCTTTACCGTAAAATTTGCGTCATCGCTAATTGTAAGTGTGAGGAAAAGGATTTAAGGTTTTTAGAAGCAATTTGAGTCCTCTTTGTCAGTCACCTTGAAGGATTGCATTGTGTGCTTTCAAATTACCTGAAGATAATTGCTTACTACAACGAAGCATTATGTACTTGTATTTGGAAATTCGAAGATGATTGTATGAGTTTAGGAGGACTAGTTTTTTGAATTAATGGTTGGTATCTAAAACATTAGTTTTGTATCTGCCCTTTGCGTAAATAAATCGGTATATTCGCTCCAGATGTGAAAGCCTTCTAGCAATCTTAAAACTGAATAGGAAACAAAAGTTTTACCAGGAACTGTGTTTTATTTACCTTTTCTTTTATTATCAGGTTATTCCCGGGAGGCCCCCTGGTGCTTGCAGTTAGTGTTCAGTACTTAAGACTTTGTTATCTCTAACAGATGTGAACATTTTGCAGGGTCTGTGAGAAATTTGTTTTAGAAAAGTACATACTTTGTAATTGCGCATGACTCTGCAAGGGAATATAGTTTAAAAATTTTTATATCTTAATCTCGGAAGTTTAAGCCTAACACCATTTTTATATATTTTTAATTTGCTTGTAAACGTAAAGATCTGTATATACCTTTTTTTTTTTTTTTTTTTTTTTACTGGGATGGTAGCACTGGGGTTTGAACTCTGGGCTTCGTGCAAAGCAGGTGCTCTACCACTTGAGCCACACCTCCAGTACATTTTGCTTTGGTTACTTTGGAGATGGAGTTTTCCCGAACTATTTGCCCACTCTGGTCTGGAACTGCCATCCTCCGGATCTCAGCCTCTCAACTAGGATTACTGGCGTGAGCCACTAGCATCTGGCACATATTTTCTTATTTTCCATATATTTGTGAACTTTATAAGCATAAAATAGCAGATTTGTGTATGTTTAAATGCTTGACCTGGAACCTTTTAAGTCAAATGCACCTTATCATAAACAAATACTTAAGAAACTTAACTAATGGAATCCAGGTTTATTAGGAAAAAAAGATAACTGAGAAAAGTAGTCTTAAGTGGTTGCATTGTTAAATGTTTGGTTCTAGTTTTGTACACCCTTTTTTCCTTTTTTTTTTTTGGGAAGAATGGTGCAGACACATTTTCCTTTTTTAGTTTAGCAAGAGTTTATTGAACCCCTCTGTGCCAGGCACCAGAAATCTAAAGATAAGACATAATCTCTTCACTCAAGAAGCTCTTAGTGTAAACAAGAGACTTCAGCTTTTCCCAGCCTCTTCTCTGTTTCTCTGTTCAACATACTACTTAACAGTAATGAGTTTTATTACTTAGTCCTGCAGAAGCATACTTAGTTTGACAATTCCTCCCTGGGATTCTTAAGCATTCCAAGTTCCTCCCCTCCTCCTCAAATCTAGACTCCTCCAAAGAAAGACTTGTTTAAAACAGACTTGAATTTTAGTGAGAAATTACTTTTAGTTTTCAAAGAAACAAATTATTTGTCTATCTTGGTTTTCATTGATGTTATCTACTGCTAGTTAAATGTAACTCAGATTAAAGTGATGGTATTTTGTAAAGTTGTCTTACAATAGCTGTGGTTAAATTCTTTTTTATATTAAATGAAAGTGGAAGTCAAAATTCCACCAGCTAAGGATACATAATTGTTAGAATAAATTTCTAAACATCTCTAGTACAGCAAGGAGACTAGAGTTAATGATACATTGTATTCTTAAGTGTAACTAGAACGAATACCATGTGGTCTCTACACAAACAGCTATGTGAGGTAACACATTTGTGAATTGGCTGTATTAAACAGTGACATAATGTATGTATGTCAGATTGTCAGGCAGGTATACATACTTTCAATGAGTAAAGTTTTGTTACTTAGGTGGAAATGTCATTGTTATATTTTCAGAGCTTTTGGGACACTTTAATACTGGTGTATTATTTAGACCATATATTTTCTTAGACTAAGTTTTACTGAGAATTAAAAATAAAAGACTTCTACCATTTTATTTCATTAGTGACCCTGCAACCACATTCTTGTGGGTTATCATAGTGCCCTTGACTAATTATTTAAATTGAAGTTAGCTTGTATGGGTAATCCAGAAAATGCAGTAAAAGCTTTTTACTTAGAGTAGTTGTTCTCTAAGGAGTTAGGATGGGAGTGGGAGTATAGCAGAATCACCTGGGGAACTGAATTCAAATTATAAATGCTGAGTTTATTTTGGAGGAGAAAAACAGGATAAGTAGAATGTGATGCATTTAGGAGGAGGTTAGTACGGAAAACTGCTGCTAGGTAATTAAGAGTGCCAGCTCTGTTCCCATGTATGGATTTGATCCAAGCATTTAAAAACTGGCCTGTACTAGTTGATGATAATAATGTCTGTCATATATTTGATAAGGCATATGAAACCGTTTAGGATTTGCCTTTTATTATATAAGTATTAATTGTATAAAACTTGGGAGATAGAGAAGTATAAAAGGAAAAAAGTCCCCCCATAATTCCAAAATCCAGTGATATCCTTGTTGAATTTTTTTTTTCCTTGATGGTGCTGGGGGTTAAGCTCAGGGCCTTGCGATTACTAGGTGTGTGCTCTACCACTTGATACATGCCCTCCAGCCTTTTTGCTTTGGTTATTTTTTGAATAGGGTCTTGACCACATTTATACCTAGGCCAGCCTAAACTGTTTTCCTCCCATTTAAGCTGCTCTCCTAGCTGGGATGATAGGCTACTCCCACCACACCCAGTTTCTTTTGGTGGAGGTGGAGTCTTACTAATTTTTTGCCTGGCTGGCCTCCAACAGTGATCCTCCCAATCTCTGCCTCCTGAGTAGGTAGGATTACAAGTAGGTGGAACCTGACCCTTGTTGAAATTTTGATAAGTTTTTATGTCTACATACTTTCCCCCACCCTGTAGTACTGAACTAGGGCCTTAAACTGATCCACACCCAAGTCCTTTTTGCTTTTATTTTCAGGTAGTATCTTGCACCAACATCCCCGTTTCTGTCTTTTGAGTACCTGGGATTATAGAAATGTGTCACAACCAGAATATTTTCTGTAGATTTTGAGTTGATTTATGTGGAATATTGCATCATGAACATTTCTTTGTCATTGAAACATCTTCAGAAATACCTCAGAGGCTCTTTGTAGTGTGATAGGATGGTTTTTTATAAGTTTTTATTTTTTTTGATGCATTGCCATAATGCTGAGCTAGCATAAGTTGTAGACTATTATCACTGGGTTTATATTTTTGGTCCATAATAGCTTTATGAAAATCTTGGGTTGTGTTTGTTTTTGGTGGTAGAGTTTGAACTCAGGAGCCTTGAGCTTTCTAGGTAGGTACTCTACCACTTGAGCCATACCTTCAGTCCTTTTTTGCTTTCTTGCATTTTTGCCTGTGCGGGTCTTGGAACATGATCCTTCTCCTACCTAGGCTTCCCACAGGATTAAAGACCTATACTACCATGCCTTGCTTGTTTGTTGGGGTGATGGGTTGTCACTGACCTAACTTTTTGGCCTGGCTGGTCTTGAACTGTGATCCTCCAATCTCTGTTTCCCAAGAAGCTGGAATTAACAGGTATGCACCACTGTGCCCAACCATCTCTTGTTTTTGAATCTAGTTTTCACTGTACCTTGACTTGTCAGATTCTGAATTTGTACAACTCCTGTAATCATTGAGTGTATTTTCTTTCCTTCCTTGTGTATCCATGTACTTTTAAGTTTTAGTTAGGCTGACAGACTGAGCAAAGAGGAAGTGTTCCTACTATGGATTTGAAAAATGAAATACATAAGTGAAACCACATTAAAGCCCCTTCTTTTAGTGATAGCATTATGAAGGTATAATTCA